CGGTATCCTCTTGATGCCACGAGATCGCCAGCGAATATACACCTCGATTTGGTCCATTACTTGCCTTCTGGTATTTGGTTTCTCAGGGATTTTATGGATTTATTTGGTTACGTTCAACCTTCGCCTTCTGATTTACTTGGCACGTGTTTCTTGATAGCGGTGTTCATAGTTAATCTCGACTTGACGCTACGCTACATAATAATTAACTTCCCAAGTGAAGCACACTGTCTGAACCTTGAAACTTCTCAAAAACTGTTGAAATACACTATCTTGGCCATCGCATTAAAACTTTTGATCTCACGTTTTGAAACACCGTTTCTTGTGCTAGCCACGTGAAACTTTAATCATAAAAGAAGTCAAGTGCTTCGTGTGCGGAAATGAAACTGTGGAATCTCAAAATTATCAACATCGCTCGTCGGTTGCCAAAGAGACGAGAGGACAAGAAATTTCGCAATATTATTTATCCTAATTCATGTTAACAAACATAAATTGATTTTTCTGAATGTACCACCCCCAGTGTTGTAATCATGGATAACATTGACGCATTACTTCTAGACTGCGTTTCTCACGGCAAAATAAGGAAATAAAGATGATAAGATATGTTTAATCGACCTCATTGTTCACCAGGTTATTATGGTTACGGCGCCTATAAACTCTTTCAAAGTCCTAAAAGCGTTCACAAAAAAAGATGTCGATGCATAATGAAAATGATGCATTTACCGATTCATTTTGAGGAGAAGCATGAATAAACGCAATTTGTTACTAAGTGACAAATATATTTGTTATTGACGCGCGCTATCTAAAAAGGACAGTGGTATTGTTTCTCGTTGAATTAGTTAACTGTTTTGATCGTAAATTACGTATCAAAACTACGATTTACACTTTAATTGAATCTACTACAGTTAAAGTGATATTCTATTGAGTTATTTTGGCTTTTGTGTATTTATCTCATTCGAAAGCATTCTTGGTCTGTATCAAAGTACTTTAGTTAAGGTTTAAAATCTTGCTAAAGTTTGTCTTGTGGTAACCTTTTATACGTTGATTGACATTTGTGTTCATACTGTGATCATATTGTTTGTTACACCTTGATCTGACTAAAATGGTTGGTAGTACTCACAAATGTGTACAGCCAAACTGTTTGTTCCCTGTGGAGGAGGGAATGCAGTGTGACGAATGCAATAAGTGGTTCCACAAAATGTGCACCCGTTTGAGTTCCACCGCATACAAAAGATGTTCGAAGCCTAACTCACACTGGTTTTGCATGTTTTGCTGTGCCAACAAGACATTACTAATACAGGAGGCTATGAGCCTATTGGCTTTGGCCTGTAAGAACGATGGCATATGCGCTGACAACACGGGCACGTACAGTGACGAATGTGTCAGTGTAGTACCTGCTGTTACTCGACGCCTCAAGCAACCGACTCTGACCGATGTAAAAGCGAAATCTCCGTCGACATTAACAGGGGGGAGTAGTACCACTTGGTACTGACATTGTTAATAATGCACCGTTTGTGGGAACCAAAGATCTGGATAAAACAGTCACCGTCCCAAATAGTCCCAGCGTTATGAGGGATGAAAAGTGGACTACGGTACGTAGGAAACGAAACGAAAAGAAAAAAGCTGTAAGCAGTACATAGGTAGTTAGTTACTCACTGGTGGACTCAAATTGTGAGCCAAAGGTTGCACTACCAAGATCTTATGGTAAGGGTGAAACCCGTCCTGGCGTGACTGAGAAGAAAAATCTAATAACATCGAATATTACTGTGAGCGGATTGCTGGAGTCAAACGACCCTGATCCGAAAATTACACACGCGCATGACTGAGAAAAGCTAGGAGAATACATTCGTAGTATTTTACCAGATAACTCCAAAGGAGTTCAGGTCAAAAAATTGGTTAGAATAGGCAAGAGGACCGAGGACAATGTTGAACCCCGTCCATGCAGATTCCTTAAAGTAATCCTAGGATCGGAGAAGCAACGGGATCTCTTGTTAAGTAGTGCTCGTTGTCACGACAATTTCGATATGCGGGTTAGACCTGATATGTCTCTCGAAGATAGAATAAAAAGGAAGAAAGCACTAGCTGAACTTGAAACCTGTCGGCAAAACGGTGAGGAAAATCTCCGGCTAGTAGGTTTTCGGATAGTCAGGTCTTGGAAGCGAATGCTATCAAGGCCTGTGTAGATAGGCTGTTCTACTTAGGAGTTTTGTATACCAACGATCGTAGTCTACGAAATAAGTTCTATGAACTAGAAGCACTAGTGGACAGGTTAAAGCCACTTATAGTAGCAGTGACAGAAACTTGGTCAGTCCATGACTTAGACATTACTCCAGAATTATCCGGATACCATTACATCAGGAGCGATAGACATAGATGTAGAAAAGGAGGTAGCGTCCTGTTATATATAGCCAATGGCATAAATATCCGCTCCTCTACTAGCAAATCCCATGGTAGCGGTACTTGTGAAGTCATTAGCTGTAAGTTGGCTATAGGATGTAGTACGTTAATGCCAGGTGTCATCTATCGCAGCCCAATCTGCTTAGCTGATGACTTTATTCTAGAGCACATTCATCTTTGGAGTGAAAATACCAGATGCTTGATAATAGGAGACTTAAACGCACCTGATATTAGTTGAACTGATATGACCACAGAAGGATCTATAAACTCCTTTGATAGTAGGTTCCTGATAACAATAATGGAGCATGCACTAGTGCAGCATGTATCCAAACCCACACGTTTTGGTGCTAACCAAGGTTCTTCTCTGTTGGACTTGGTAATCACTCATGATACTGAGGATATTGTCGACCTAAATATTCTCACACCGTTAGTGAACAGCGATCACGCTGTTTTGTCATTCACGTTTAGAACTAAGGACATGTTATACGAGCAGGTTACACCCCGCCCAAATGTATGGAAAGCTAACATATCAGCCATTCAGGAATGCGCTGCTAAGACAGACTGGTTAGTAGATACTAGCATATCAGTTGAAGAAGCATGGTCTGTATTTAAAGGTAAATTTAGACTAGTTACGTCCGCGTTCATCCCATACCTGATACCACGAAGACGGAATAACCGTCCACCATGGATAGCTAAAACGGTCAGGAAACTTCTTAGGAAAAGGAAGAATCACTGGAATATGTTCATCTCTACTGGCTTAGAACAATACAGATCCAGTTATTGTAAGATTAGGAATGCCTGTAATACGTTAATAAGCAAGACTAAACTATCATACGAAAAACAATTAGTTAGGGATTCTAGATGTAGTCCGAAACGGTTATTCTCGTTTATAAAAAGGCAAACTAAGAGAAGCGATGGAATTCTATCACTTTTGATACGAGATAATCCGTTAATCTTAGCAAAGAATGATGCCGAAGAAGCTGAAGCTTTATCAGAATATTTTAGTAAAGTGTTTTCTATAGGTAATGAGGAACGATCAGCGGCTAGCTGATGGACCCTGTAGTCATCGAGAAAGGTACTGTTTTAAGGCTACTTCAGCATCTCAAACCTGATAAGTCCAGTGGTCCTGATGATATTCATCCTGGGATTATAAAAGCCATATCAGATGAAATTGCTGAACCATTAGCGATACTATTCGACATGTCTCTGAGACAGTCCAGACTTCCTAGAGACTGGAAAAATGCTATAATAAGTCCAGTGTATAAGGCTGGGAGTAGGGATTTAGTTAGTAACTATAGACCCGTTTGCTTAACTAGTGCAGTTGTAAAACTGATGGAAAAAATCATTCGGATATCTGTTATAAACTATGTTGAAGGGCGAAATCTTTTCTCCAGGGCACAACATGGTTTTCGGAAAGGCCTATCTTGCTTGACAAATCTTCTCATTGCACGAGAAGAGTGGGCTGCTGTAAAGGATGGGAATGTTCCTGTGTATGTGATTTTCATAGATCTAAGTAAAGCCTTTGATAAGGTTTCCCACTCTTAAATTCAAACTGGAACGTTTTGGAATCCATTATACAGTCGTAGTTTCGATAAGTAACTTTCTCCATGACAAAAGACAAAGGATAAGAGTAAATGAGGCTCTCTCCCCGTGGGTACCTGTAAAAAGTGGAATTCCCCAAGTCACAATCCTCGGTCCTCTTCTCTTTTTTTAATGTAAATGAATTGCCAATTGTAGCAAAATCATCGGTTCTACTCTTCGCTGATGACATAAAGATTTGGAGACCCATACATAGTATGTCGGATAGAATAGTATTACAAGACGATCTTAGCTCATTGGTGGCATGTTTAGACAGGTGGTCACTAGAAGTAAATCCTAATAAGAGTGTAGTGATGCAGTTAAATAACTCTGATGAATCGTATCATCATACACTACGTGGATTCGTGCTACCCAAAGCAAGAAACTATAAAGGAGTTATATTAAGCAATGATCTCAAAACGACTAGGCACTGTAAGGCTGCTGCTGAAAAAAGCTATAGGGTATTATGGTCAATTCGTAGGTCTTTTCAGTATTTAGATGATGAAATGTTTGGATTACTATACCCGATTTATGTACGACCACATTTAGAATACGGGATTCATGCAGCGTATCCTTGTTTCAAGTATGAAGCAGATATGCTAGAAAGAGTCCAACGACGAGGGACTAAGATGGTACAAGGTCTATCTGGCCTATCTTATGAAGACAGACTGAGACACCTTAACTTATTTCCGTTATCTTACCGTAGAATACGGGGTGATCTAATATTGGCCTATCGTATACTGAACGATGACCTTGGTACTAACATGGCTTATCTTTTGCTTCCGTATAGAACCGATCATTTGAGAGGACATTCGAAGGAAGTTCGAAAACCGAAATCAAACCGTTTACGTCTGGAGTTCCGTTTCTCGCACCGGGTAGTGAATTACTAGAGTTCTCTACTGGAACACGTTATATCAGGACCGTCTGTTAATATATTCAAAACGAGGTTAGACCTCCACAGTAATAAAAACTGCAAGGATAAATATAAGTCGATAGACCTTCTATCCTTATTACTGAAGACTGAAGACATTGTAGCCGCGTCAAGCAATAGTAACGCTACGTCACGTTTTCGTTGATGATTCTTGACGAGCGATTATCCAGAGATCGATGGTAATTTCACGTACTGTTATTATCGTGGGACAGTAACGTGACCTTTTATACAATAGTGGTCGATGTTCCTTGGCACCTTACAGTTAACGATTATCGGGCGCGTAACGTTACATTCCAACATTTTTTCCAGTTGGTTTGGGAGATTCCCATTTGTCAAAGCCTTTTATCATGGGAGAGATTCGAGCGGTTCTCTATCAGCTTATGGAGTTTTCGACCTGTCGTCACGGTCGAAATAAGATTATAATCTTATAAAGATGAGAATAAAGAGGAAAATGCGTTGGGAAAAAAATGCGCCAAATCGTCTACTTTTTCGAGTGTCAGGGGAAAATAATATAGGTTTTCCCCTATTTTTCGCTCTGTACTTCACGTGTCCATAACCCACTCACTCAATAAAGGGGAAGTAAATGGGAACAGAGGAAAATAACGGAGAAACGCTCCAAAATGTCTGCTTTTTCTGCTGTCTGGGGAAATAATGCTGATTTTCCCTCTTATGTGGCTCTGTCTTTTAACGTCGCTGAATTGTCTACTTTTCACCTAAAGTCATGACGGATCGTCTGCTCTTCGCCCAAACACTCACCGAGTTAATTACTTTTTGCCCAGATCTACGCCGAATTGTCTACTTCACTTAAATACTCACCGAACTGTCTACTTTTCACATGAATACGTGCCAAGTTGTCTGATTTTCGCCCGAATTATCTACTGTCGCTTCGGCGTTTAGCACACCTAACCCTAGATGTTTCCTATATTTATCTGTATTTCCATAGCAAGCCCCACGACAAATGTAATCAACGTTAAAATGGTACATGTTTAGGGAAATTTATTGAAGAAAACATCACATTGCACAAGATTGTGAATAGCTGACATGCTAGATCATCGATCGTTATGTAAGTGCGAAGTCGACATTTACCCTAAGTAACCGACATCAATGAGGAAAAATAGACTTTTCCCCTTTATTTACGCTTTTGTCGGCTTCATTACGCCTTTATTTTCCTTTTTATATTCTTTTTGTAATAATGTGATAGAACTTGGTTCTGCGTATAGAAGCTAAATTTGTGTCACTTGTTTTAAGAATGAGATGGAGTTTGAGTTATTTTCACATTCCTTAAGAAAGACAGTTTGATGGACTATGATCTATATTATTGACAATCACGTTAACCGTCCACCTAGGCTATAATAAAGTCTTAATACTGTTGAAAGACTTCTAAATGTATTCACTTGTCGAAATATGGTCTCTGGAGTACTGTAACTTTCAAGGATATTTACTTTATCGTCCTATAAGACTTATATTTGGCTGCGACACAGAAGTTTTATTAATTGATCATGGGATTTCACATTTCAGATGTGTTTTTATGGCCGTTCAGGCAATTTCGGATCTAGAAATTAGTGCCAGAAAAATCAATAATTTGATATCTGAACATTCTCCGTTGTACGTAGATGTTCAAATAAGCCATAGTTATTCGGGAAAAATTAATTATATTAATAAAATAGAAATGATCTTCGATTTATGCTCAGTATTGAAGAAGACACGTTGGTACTAGCGTCACTTGAACTGGTCTACTAGGGAAATAGGCATCCACTTATTGTAAACTATTCACGTGTAACGCTTAGATTTTATCCATATTGCCTATCCAATTTCTGTGAAAACGTAATGCTAAAACTATATAGCTCCATCCTTATGATTTAATTATTTGAAAACAGTCTGCTCTGAACTAAACCAAACCCTTTAGAACAACACTAGAATTTCATGTTTAAGAAAGTCAGTATAAGGTTTAGTTAGTAGATATTTGTGCTGTTCACGATTTGTATTGAATAAATTATTTCTTTAATCAAAACTGTTGAAAGTATTATTCATGCACATGTTCGAGGAGACAGTTTTGGGTCATACCATGGGTCAATAATACTAAGCGGCTTGTCAAACCAAAGTATAAAGAACGGAGTTCCAATTTGCCACTATGATTTGAAGTCACGCCTTTCAGCTACTGTCTGTATTTGGTACAAACATCTGACGTGATGTTCAAAATGCCAAATTGGCATTCACTAATATGGTCGATATCAATGAAGAAAGTCTTTTTTCCTAAAGGAAATAGCGTAAGTAAAACGCAATTCACGAATAACCATCTTTGCTGGTTGTTACTGGCATATGTATATCAGAAATTTGTAACTCATTTTCTTACTAATAAACGTACCTCTGTTTTAGGAGTATTTGGTCTATTTATTCCTGGTTGCTTGAATAAGTAACAGTCGATGGTTTACCATCCTCTGTAGTTTTATATGTACGTTTAAGTAGTACGTCTCTCCTCGAAAAAGCTTAAAACTCTGATTTCGTTTACTTCTAGTGATTTGATTGATAACTGTCCACAGGAATTATGAACTCATTAGGTCTACAGACATATGTGGAATTGTTCCATTTTCCATCATTGGCTCAGTCGAATGTTTTCAACCTAACTTTTCTGAAGTCTGATGCTGCAAAACGATCAAAAACTAGTCGAAAAACGTACGACATACTGGTCGCATTTTTCCGTCCAGGTGAGTATTCGCATTCTGATTTCTTTATTTTAGCCTAGTAAGCGATCCACTAGCCAGCAAATATTCCTTTAGTATACACCATTTCGATGTAGAAGACAAAATTATTCAGCCACTAACTAAAACCATTGATTTTGCCTATTTACCAGGTTTCGTAGAAATTGTAGTGATTATTTGTATGTAAATTCTCAGGTGCCTCAGACATAGTTTGCATTAATGCATTACATGACGAAATAACTGACGAATACTTCGTTGCTATTGGCTTTGTAAAGGTAACATTTAGTTTGATCTAATGTTTATTGTATTTAAGGAAGGCGAAAAAGGATACCTTAATATATACAGATCTAAGTCAGAAGAAAAGCTATCGGGTATGTTTTACACAGAAATCAGTCAATAAGTATTCTGTTCAGAAAACTGCTTGAGTTATTCCAAGTTACCTTGTGTTCCTCTTCATTTGACTCATGCACAGTAAGTTACACTTAGATTTCAATTAGACTTATATTTATGCTAGCTTCTGTATTCAATAATGATATATTTTCAAATGAGATGAAAAATTTGCACGTTTAAAAGAATTACTAGTGTTTCTACCTATTACATACTATCATAACTATGATTTTATCATTGTTATTGATATGACAAACTAAGTAAAAGTAGCCAAATGAGTAGATCAGTCGATGTTAATCAGAATTGACCTGAAGGACGTCTTATATCAGTACCACATTTCGGACACCGCCCATCACAACAGTTATCATTAGTTCCATGAATACTCATACTAAGAAATATTAAAGTCTATTGAGATTACAATCATATAAAACATGACGTGTGATCTTAATTATTACCAGACCGTGTTTTTTCAGTAATCAGTATACGAGTAACTATCATCTTTTATTTAAATATATTCATCTAGGATATCCCGATACAGATAAACCCTAGTTAAAATCGTGCGTTTTTCAGTTCATTTAGCTATTACCTTATCTTATGTCAAGGAAATGTAAGACCAATTTCTCAGGTATTCAGTTCCTGGTGCTCAAATATCACGCAATTAAAGTGATACACATAGTTCTGACTCTAACAGTTATCTCCGTTAATCTAATCAATTTCCATTAGACTAAGCGTTTATTTTATAAAGTTTTTGCTTTGTGGACTAATGAGAGTTTGTTTGTGCTTTTTTAGCTGTCTCATCAAAGATGAACATCAGTGGGCATTCTTTTTGTCTTATGGTGAACCTTTTAGCGAAACTTCCAGTCAACGTAAGTTTTGTAAATGCTGTTTATGGAATTTTTCTGTATCCAGTATTTCTAAAACCCAACTAGTTATACTACGTTGTTCAGAATTAGATGATTTCTTAATTTGTCACTAGTAGTTTATTTTAAATTTATAATTTTGTTGCTCATATATTCTTCATAATAAAGATCATAAACTCGCGGTTATAAATACTTTTGTAGATGACCTACATTTCGTTCACAGTGTAACCAATTAGTCAGTCAGCTACAACATAGGACCAGGCACATATGTGCATCGATCCAAGTTCCCATACCTCATTAGCACAACAAGATGAACACCGAATTCATAGACGTGATTAATTCAGTGGTGGTAATATATAAAAGAAAGATTTCATATAAGGACATAGTACAGGAAGAAAGAATTAGTTGGTAGAAAGAAAGATATGAAGCGATTTTAATCTCATAGTTTAAGGGAAGACAGAGTGTATACACCGACGCCATTGTGATCGATTCTGATCCATGTCACACAGAGTCTACAACCATTGGTTGCCATAGTCACACGGAATCCAACCGAGTAGTCTGCATCTACCAACATGACTCAGACAGAAGTTAGGGAATTCAAGCATTGATTAACCACATTGAAGTTAGTGATTGCAGATATGAGGCAGTTTTCACTATGAACTGAAATCAGTTCGAGAACTGTTGAAAGCTAAGAAGCATGAAACATCTGGTTTATACTATTATTGTGCTATCATGTATCCATTATCGGATCGAATCTAAAATCTTCGATTACCGTGCTGAAAGCGATCCATTGTTACAGTTTCTATCATGAATCGGTTCTTTTGATCTCCTTCCTTTCATGCACATTTCAACAAATCTTTCGTCAACTATTGTATTGCTGCACTAAGATTGAAAGTGCTATACTTATAATATGAGATCATATAAACGTTGAAGTTGGACTTTGGAAATCTATTATTCATCATCCTTCTTTTTAACATAAGAAAACTGTTCATTTTTGTGCTTGCAACATCATATATCTGTCTGATAGTCATCGTTGTTATTATCCTATTAGAAAATTCAATTACAACATTAGTGGTAAATGCTGTCTATTATTTCTAACTGTAAGTCATCGATTTAATTTCTAGATCATGATTCCTAACCTCGCTTCATTTGTCCCAACAATAGTAACTTAGTTCCTGTCGTATAATACACTTAACTCGATCCTCGAGATAAACTCATTCACTTAATCACTGCTAATTAAACCAAAATGACCTATGAAAACATTCTTTTGTTAATTTTGATCTAGACAAGCCTTCCAATCAACCACAAGTCAAAATATTTTCCAAACTTGTTGATACTGTAAGTAATATTTTAAATTTGATTTATAAAATACATTCAGAATAGTATTATATTATTCTCATATTTTAACAAATTAAAATCAGTTTCTAGATTATCAAGGATTATTTTATGATTACAACGGTCTTATTGATTTTCAAAGAGATACAGTACAATATATGTGTTCTTGTGCGTAGTATATACTACCTATGGCTGTTCTTTTGCCTTCAGTTTTACCGCTTCGTCTGCATCTCGTTTAATCGTGATTTGAGCGAAGAAATTTCTTTTCAATTAGTTTTTCATCATTGCTCTACACTAATATATATATATATATATACATATATATACATCAAGTGATATCATGAAATTATTCTTGACTGATAGATTTTTTATATTCTCAACAAATTCAAAGGGAATCATTGACACTATGCTTGACAATTTATTTGTGTAATGGTTTGAGAATTTGCACCAACCATTTTGCTACAGTATGATACGCTGAGTTATTCATATCTAAAACTGGTCGAATGGGCAAGCTAATTTTGTGTATTTTTGGCAGGCCATATAGCCTTGGTGTAATCGTTCCTGTAGGTTTCAACATTATGAACATCTTTTCTGAAATAAAACCTTGTTGTTTAATTTCTTTCAGAGAATCTGGAATCGGTTTGTCTAGATTTTTCTTAAGTTTCATTCTTTTCTTTTCTTGAGTTAACAACTATCTCAACATAGTCCAGATAAAGAATAACTCAGCGTATAGCACAATGGTTGGTACAAATCCTCTAACCATTACACAAATAAATTGTCAAGCATAGTGTCAATGATTCTTTTGAATTTGTTGAGAATATAAAAAATCTATCAGTCAAGAATAATTTCATGAAATCACTTGATGTATCATCCTTATTCACTAACATTCCACTGCTTGAAACGGTTGATTTTATTTGCAATGAACTAACAGAGAGGCGCATAGAAACGCCGGTTCCAGCATCCGCAATAAAACAGTTAATTCTTAGAAGCACTATGAATGTCCAATTCAGATTTGACAACGAATACTATAGACAACTAGATGGAGTTCCCATGGAATCACCATGAGGCCCTCTACTGGCTGAAATTTTCCTTGCAAAACTGGAAAATGGACCACTTAAAAGCAAAATTAGCCATATAGACGCTATATAGACAATACTTTCATGGTATTAGAAAAAGAAAATGATAAGGACGATTCACTTAATATATTTAATAACGTTCATCCATCAATTAATTTTACATCAGAAGATGAACAGAACAATGGCATATCATTTCTAGATGTCCAACTAACTAGAAGAGATGACGGAACTTTAAAAAGAGAGATACACAGAAAGTCTGCAATAGGACAATACACTCATTTCTACAGTGAAGTTCCAATCAGATACAAAAGGAACTTGATAAAGATCTTGACTCATCGTGCCAAAATGATTTGCTCGGAAGACACCATTGAGGATGAACTGGTTGATATTCGGAACTTACTTAATATGAATGGGTACCCTATGAAATTCATCGACAAGCACATGATGGAGAAGAAAACAAGGGCAAAGATACCTACCGTCCCTAAGAAAGTACTGTTCATAAAATCACAATTAATAAATGACACCACTGAAAAAATCGTGACTCAGAAACTAAGAAGAGCTGTACAAAAAACATTTAATGTAGCCAGATTAAATGCTATCTTCTACAACCACCCCAAAATAAGAATTACCAATAAAGACAGACTGCCTGAATTCGCCAAATTCATGTGTATCTATCGGTTCAACTGCTCCTCGTCAAGTTGAATTGAATAAAGCTTTTAAGGTTATCTACCATATCCCATCAAATTTGCCACATGTTTTACGAGTGCGCCTTTTGCACATCGCGGAAGCCATCGCAATCCATGTTCACAAACCTAACCTTTGCATTCAAGAGATTTGTACAACCACTTTCGCTGCCTTGGCCATCGGCATAAGATTTACCTCAACAGAACTATTTTTCATACTTCTTCCATTCGTTTTTTTTTAATTTTTTTAATTTTGTTTTTGTTGTTTTTGAACTTTATAAATTCTCAACATTCATCTCTTGATTCTTACGTAACTACTATTCTATTGACCATCCATTAAAAAATTCTGTGCCTTCTCTCTTTTTCATATATTGCGCAACGCAGCAACTTCTTGATTTAATAATTACTTTGAATCAATGTTAATTTAAATGTCATTATGTAATTGTTACTTAACGTATCCACTCGATGAGTATCATATCATTATTGTAAATCATATATATTAGTGTAGAGCAATGATGAAAAACTAATAAAAAAATTTCTTCGCTGAATTCGTTCCTTCTTTATATATAAATTGTGAAAATGGGAATTTTCACTATAGTCGTGATTTATTTACAGAGAGAAGATATATGCTTTATGGTATGACTGGCTTGTAAGCTTCATAAAATTATTGAAGTTATGAACCGCTGTAAGTTAGACTAACATTAAGGACCTGGTATCAGTAGATGGTTATTTTGTCCTAGTATGGGACTTCATCAGTGCGCACCTGCAATCGCAAACCCAGGACCTTTAGTATCATGGGCATGCTCTTAGTCTCTAGACCACTGATCCAGCATCCACAACCCTATACTGAAAATTCTTCAAGTCATTGTGAGTGAAATATCAGATGAATGGGAGAATGTATATCTAGATATTTGTTGGATTGTAAAATACTCATAATCATTTGATGGATGCTTAGGGCAGAAAGTATTGTTTAGGGATTCTGTCATCTTTTTGATAGTTTCTTCCGAACAGTAAATACCCTTAACCCCTTCTGTGTTTAGTACTCAATAATTTCTAGCTTTCTTTGCATATATTTTAGCTTTCAAATAAATACAATTAGCTGTGTGTCTACAGTCTCAAGTCAATTATGCCGAGAAATTAACCGCTATTATAAGCATTGTGTAGTTGTCTCTGCATGTTGAAAATAGATTAAATTTGGAAAATTGAACTATCATGCTCCATCCAATTACCCTAAAGTTTACACCAGCGCAAGACTCAAAGTTCATAGGCCCGATTGTTTATTGTAAGTTAGATCATCCGACTGATCATCTGTAGAAGCTAGTATCCTCTATATCTGACTCCAATAGATAGTATCCTGTTAACTGAGTATTTAATGCAGGCTAAATCTCCTAGTAGAACCATGGATTTACTCGAGATTATTCAAAATCCTAAACACCAGTTTTAGAGATGGTTTATTGGTAAAATCCGCAAGCGTACAGGAAGCAAGCACACAGGGTAAACAAGTGTGTGTTAAAAATCCATATATTTTTTTGAGTGTTAGTTAAGTATGGATAAATTATTGGTTGTCTGTGTATTACAACCAATGGGAGAATAGATTAAAAATTGACATGTGCTCAATCAGACTCATACGGAAAATTACATGGTGGATCAAGTGTATAAATTACAGTGAGCAGATAAATAATACAGTAGTTGAGTGAGCTTACTACACATCTCATCAGGACATAGTCTTTGATGATAACCCAGTATAATGTAACAGCCAATTACCATTGATTTTACAGTCGTATGATTGGTATATACTTGTAGTTAAAATGTTTATTTTAATAAATGTATCAGACATTATCTAGCTACACCGAGGTACTGTTGTTTGAATAGTTGAGACATAACATCACGATAAGCATAGTGCACATATCTGTGTTCTGTATTTAACAATAATTCGGTGCTTATGAAAATATGTGGTAGTTGAGCAGAACATTGAATCAATCAGTTTTTTTCTTTCACACAAAGTCTGAGCTTTCATGTCGTCATGTACGCTTCAGTAGTGATCCTTTGATTTTTACTGATTTTAATGGATTAACAATCAAATGTGTCACGTATGGATCATTGTTTCATATTTATTGGCAATTACTAAGTTTATCTAACTCCGCCTGTAGTTGTTCTAGAGTTTATGCCGGTCCCAAGCTCGGGTAAATGATGAGGGTTGGGCATGGGGTCGGCAACTCTATTTCGTACAAAAAAATCTTGCTAAGAAAACGCCATCCAGTAACTAAGTTTATCTAAGAATACATACAAATTGAGGTATACGAATTGGAGAGGCCAGGCAAATCATAATTAACTAATTTATGCGACTCAGTGTTTATATGCACTTTTTGAAATTTCAATATCGGTTTAGTTATTCTCATTAGGTATATCAACCATAGAAAGCGTTGTCTATTCTTACATAATAAACTTACAGATTCATTATTCGAACACAATAAAATATCAACAAACATGTGGTTGGTAGAATTACTGTAGAAAAAGTTCACACACTTCCCTATAATGGCAACACATAGAAAATCTTAATTGAAAAATCATTCAATAATTTTTCAGTTGGTATTATGTTTGGAACGGTGGTGGTGTTTCTTAGCTAGTAATCTTGTATCTTTAAATCAGCGTTAGTTTCATTCATCATTTTAAAGGTCATCATTGAAAAGTTTTAAGTTGAATTCCTTATTTCCTCTTACTTCTAGAATGTTTTTGAACAAGTTGAAATTGATCAAGATGCAAAAAACTTCGAATCAAATCAGTCTCAAACCTGTCATGCCAGTGCAGCCTATGGTGAACTACCGTTTAATATTGCCGTAGTACTTTTCCCAGAGCTAACAAAATTGCCAACAACATTAATGTAAGCTTTATTCAGTAAGATATCTTTCAAGTAAATAGAAACCTAATTTGTGTTTTTGTGTAAATAGATGTATGAACTGAACGTAGGATATTCTTTCCTAATAGATTTTCATCAGGCTCCTTAATTAAAAATTCAAATTGATTCTCGAAATGGATGATCAACTTGATTGGATGAACTGCTTTTAAAAATTACGGCCTATAAATTTAGGATCACTAGTGGAGTGAAATAGAATTGGTAATCTTCAGATATTTAGTGTGTATTGTTAGAATCACTAAGTTTATATATCAATGAAATCATAAGATTGATAATCTGAATAGATATAGATAACACGAGATGAACTAATGTGATTTTATTGTATAGATGAAATTCGACTGGCAGTTAAATCCAGGGCGCTCGTTTCATTATATTTAAGATACGTCAAATGGATGTATTTGCATCCCAGTGTCTATGACCGCACTGGAATTCAAACCCCAAACTCTGCACATCAAACGTTCAATGCGTTATTCATCTAGCTACTAAGTCCAGATAATCACTCGTCCAACGGATATGAGTTTTCATTTAATCTGTAAAGGTTTTTGAATTATTTGGTTACTGGGACTTTCGACCCAATTACGTTGCTTGTGATTTGATATGAATTAGGTATCAGTATTTATATCGGGTTTGTGGTAGTTGAATTTTATACTGGTTGAAAAGAACAGTAATAATGCTGATAATATTTGAGCAAGATAATTTTAAGATAAGTAAACACAAAGGAGGTCGGCCATACATATTCAAATTAGGTCATCTTATGATTAGGATAACTAATGATTTACTAGATCTTAAGTTAACTGAAATGAGAAAGGGGTCTGAATTCATTTTTCTTTTACATACAAATCTCCGACTTTCAAATTCAAATAGTTATTATTTTCGTTGTTTGGAAGGCTGTAAGTCAAACAGATTTTGGCAGATAATTACCAATGCGATATAATACTGTAAACGATTGACAAATTTGAATTATATAAGATGAAGTAGAACTGTAGTGAACAGAACAGTGGTGGGGACAATCGAATGTATTTAACACAAAATTACAGTTACTTGGTAAAATAGAAAAACCATATAGTAAATCGTTAATTTGCAAAATATCAATCCATCATATCAAACCGGACTGTTCCTACTGCCAACATCAATCCATTGTTTCACATTTCATTGTTCATGCGTTTTCTTACAAATTGCATTGTGTTCTCGAACTTCCCCCATCTTCTGCTGCCAGACATTACGTTTTTAACTCGCATCATATACTACTTACATCAATATTAGTAGCACGCACCACAAAACTATTGATCGTTTTCGTTGTACCTTTGCTTAGCCACTCTGAAGGTGTTTGTAAGTATGAAGAACCAAGTTCGTAGAATATTAACCGACATAAATGGCTTTAAATTAGCCGTTAAATTAATAAATACAAGATAGGTGACTAGTTTAGTGAATTTATCTCTCAATCTCGGTATCACAATCAGATGTATAGAAAACAGTAGTTGTAATTTTCACACGTTAAACGTTCTTTAAATTATTTTACATAGTTTCAGCACAAATATTTCTACATGTACATCACTTCTAAATAAGTAGGTGCATTAAATAGTAATTTTTCGTTAATCATTTGAACTTCCTTGTTCTATTTCCTTTGATCCAAGTGTTTGTTTATACTATAATCTAATTTACATTTAATTTCTGTTTCATTTATTCTTAATCATAAATAAATTCTTGTTTTTAATTGAGATTTTCACATTCCTTGTTTAATTTTTCACCACAGTTTCTTACATATGGATTTTAAAATTATAAATAATATACGGTTTTCAGCTTTTGGCTCACAAGATGGGTGGTTTGGTTTATTCGCTGTGGACATGAAATCTCGTAGTATGTTCCTTTTTATGTTTGCCTAAAATGTTTAATTACATGTTTGTATACGATATTTGTAAATTTTTATCATATAATTAATACCTTTTTCCCATCATTAAAGTTTTGTCTATTCCCTATGAAATTACTATAACTGAACAGTGTATCCTACATATCCAATTGGCTACATATTATCTGATGAAAAGTTTCCTTTTATATGAAATGTATTTGAATATCCAATATATTAAGTGTTGTCAAATAGTTTATATCAATCATAACTAATTTAATAAGTTCATTACACTGTAGCACTATACACTTCAATTTATTTGTTACTGGGCTTTGATCTGACTGAATATAAATGTATGAAAATGTTTGGATTAACTTCTTTGAAAGTCCACTGAATAAAACTATTAGGTCCAATTTACCCTTAATTGTTTGTATGAATCCAATGTTTTCTTTCTAAATATACTGTTTATCGCGTATATTTGTATGGTGTTTTTTTGTTATCCAATCAGGAACTATACGACATTTCTATTTATCTCATGAATCACCAATCACATCCATTAAAATATTTCAACAGTTTAATGGGTTTGATTCTGCTTCAGAAGAAGTGATCAAGGATAATGAAAGTAATTTATTTATTTATTCTTTAAAATCTGACTGGTTATATTGTCATATAATAATGATCATCTTATCTAGTGTTATATTTTTAGTACAATATGAAATTCCCAGCATAAAATATTCCAACAAACTATTGATTCGGTACTTACATTGAAGATATACAGCAGGACCGCCACTGGCTTCTATTTTGAGCCAAGTCTGATAACATCTTAAGCCATTGTGTTGTACTCCAACCAGGGAGTTGTGTGAAGGACCATCAGATGCTAGTCCTGTACAGCATTCTTTAATGCCATCACACCATGTTATACACTAATCCGGCAAATAATGCACGATGTGGAATTCGTTGTGAAGACCTTCGTAAGACATCCAAGCTGCCGAAGTCGGTGTTTCAAGATTGAATCGAATTATCGTCACTGTGCCTGAACACACAATATCGAACCTCTGCATTACTAACATGGTGTTACCAGTGTATGTTAGCAATCCTCCGGAGACAACAAGGATCAAACACAGAGGGTCGTCTAACGTCCTCAACTCGGAGAAATCAGGTTTCATAAGCATAGAGCAAGACTGCTCCCATCGACGCGTTGGAGGTCCGACCTTTCACACCCAGAACACCACGGAAGCGCTAGAGATGGGCCAGATTGGCATAAGCCGCTCTGGCTTTCACTATATGTGAATTGATCTCACCACTCAAACCATCAGCAGCACTTATGCAGCTATCCTGATACATGAATTTCTCGATTACTTTTATTTGCTCACTACTCAAGGTGAGTGCAGGATCAGGGTCCTACAAGTCGTGTAAAAGTACTTTGGACTTAGAAGGTGCAGAGCATACTCAACTTATATAATTTCTCAAGTTTATCATTCCGGGTTATAAAATTAATTGTCACAAACCTTAGATGATATTTTAAGCTAAATGGGTTGGTGGTTTATTGTTTAAGAGGTTGAAATTCCAGCCATAAATTGCTAGTTCGAACCCCTCACAACTGGGTAGTATTACTAGTGCTTACAGACTGTGCCTCAAAGCCATGTGTAAAATTCTGTAACTGATAACGATTTACTAATAAATTATAACAATACATTAGCAAAATGATATCGATAACCGCTTAACCGGAAACCACAAACTGCTTGAGAATCCATTCATCAATAAAAATATGGTAATTTTAGTCTCATTTTTATATTCATTTCACACTGATGTTATCATCTATTAATTTTTTAAATTTCCTACATCTGTAACTTATTTATGTCAGTCTCTTTCTCCCTTCATTGATTTCATATCAGATGTGTCTATTCTCAAGAAAGATGTTAATTGTTTAGTGTGTTCAGCTTTTGAACCAACTGTTGTTTATTGGTAAGCATGCAAATTTCCAACATCGTATTTACATATAAGTTATCAGATATGTCTTTAAGTTAATAGTGCGTATATTCTTCGACTTTTACTCAGATTAATTTCTTAAAAGAAAGTGTTAACTTCACATTCTATGTAATGTACAGATTTATCAGAACCATCGGAATGAAGCATCTAAGGTAAAGTATCTTGACTTCTTGAAATATTTATGTACGAATATATACAAATAATTAATGTCTCTACATTAAACGATAATTGGCACAAGGTAAAGCTCACATTAATAATGATAAACTCGACAATAACAGTGAACTTTCAGTACAGACAAGTGTAGAAAAGTTCCACTTCAATATGGTTAAACAGGTAAAAAAATGCGTCAACCATTAAGAGAACAGCTAGTTTACGACTAACTAATGAAATATATGAAAAGGAGGTACATGATATAAACTATTTACGAACGAGTAGCGTAGTTATAATACGAAATTTCACGAATTTTGTTTGTTGGCTTACTCATATTTACATTTGACTCATTCCTCCAATTGCTAACTTATTTTTGGGTACTAACTTTTATGAAAATCTTACTTAGTGTTAGAAAATATTGAGGCAAATTCAAACCCTATTTCACCTGCTTCATTTCGAACAGATGGTTAGTTTCACTAGCCATCAAACACTCATGAAGTCTCTTACACATTTTTTCAGCTGTTATCGGTATTAATCACTGATGGGATTGGATACTGACATGGTATCACAGTAGTAGCCTCTATTATTTCTTTTCCTACTTCTCTTTTTATTCCGTAATCTCAGTTTGTTTTCCTTTACTGTTTGGAACTGATCAACCAATATCTATGTGTTAAAATAAATAAAAAATGAATAAAAAAACCATTACAACACATATTTTACATGTTCATGATATCTGAATACATTGGGGTGTGTGTGTGTGTGTGCGTGATAAGGATGACTTATTGACTTCAATTTTAATCTCTATTTTTTAGATCATCAGGAGACCAAAAAACCAAGAGTATGTGTGATACCCTAGGTTGTTGTAGCAGGAGTCTGTGATACCATTGTTCTCCAGGAAATTGTTAAGTTAATTACTAAAACTAGTGACTAGGCGTAAGTCTAACGAGAAGCAGTGACCAGTGGAGTTCAACCGGGTGTGTTGTGACAGTAACTCACTAATGATAATGGTGGATGTGTCGCTCAGTTTTGTGGAGTAGTTGAAGTTAGACATTAATACCGTTGAATGCCGGCTCAGTGGTCTGGTGGTTAGGCGCTCGCGAGACTGTTAGCTCCTGGGTTCAAATCCCGTGAGGCGAGATTGTGGATGAGCACTACTGAGGAGTCCCACACTAGAACAAAACGACCGTTCAGTGCTTCCAGGTTTTCAATGGTGGTATAGCTTAAATCGACTCATGATCTAAACTATTAAAATTACTATGATATCCACAAAACCCCTTCTAATGTTTTATTTTTGCCTAAAAGATCTTATCTATCGTACCAATAATATGGTCAAACTTCATTTTAATTTTGTTCTCTAATGATCACGCGGTTATTACTTAGTTTTGAGGTAAATAGACTTCATTAATAAAAGAAATTTCAATGATTCATATTACACATTGTCCTGTGTCATATAAAGTAATTAATGTATGAATTTTATTATCATTTCAGTAATATCTTCAAAAATAATGGCTTCAGTGTACAAAATCAGTTAATTTTACCATTTAGCACAGATTTTGATCATGTCAATTGTGCTTCAGTCGATGATTTTAATTTGGATGGTAAAACGGAAATTATACTTGGAACATTTGGACAACGATTACTTTATTATGAATGGGAGTTGAATAATACAGATCCAAAAAATGGACAATTCATGTAATATATTTCGTTTTCTTCTTACTCTATATATGTTCCGTATTTGTATTCTGTAGGGATTAATTAAAATTTGTCAAACTTCTATTAAACGCCACCGATGTTTGGTGATTAGATAACTAATCTTTAAACTAAGTAGTTTATAGCTTTGGTTTAAACAGCCTGACACTACTATTACTACTACTACCGAACACTTAAGCAACATCTATTAATTCATAGAGCTGTTATTCATTAGTTCAGACACTCCACAGTTACAAACTGCATCTCATGTAATATTTAGATGTTAGTTAGTATCGTTATTAATTTTGGTTAAATTAACCGTTTCAGATAAAGTGTCATCAATGCCATGAATACTGTTGTTTGTATTTAACACCCACCACTCATATCGATACATTTGTGATAAGGTATTCATAAATTTATTTTGTCTGAACTCACAAAATCTTTTAAATTATATATTCTACGGATTTTAGAAAGTTTATTACCTCTTTTAATATTGCTTTTAGATTTGCAGTGAAAAACATCTATGCTCCATAAAGTTCGACGAAACGAATAGGATTACATATGCCCAACAATGGTAGAGAGTTTTAGAAGTAGTTCATTTGAAATCAGTTAGCTTTATGCTTTATAAAAGAATCAATTTACTTTAGTAAACAGGAACATAGAATGGAAGTGATAGTTTCTTAGTAAAATAATCCATCTGATTAGCTGACTAAATATTATAAATGACGAATGAGCATCAAAGGACGATTAATTAACGTTATGCAGGTGTGAATGTTGCTTACATTCTTTGCTTACGTGATCTAGTATGTCTAAGTGTTCGAATTCAAATTGTGTGCTATTCCTCATGAATAGTTTAGTATTAATCTGTTCCAATAATGGCAAATGACCAGCTTTATTATGTACTGCTACCCCGCAGCTACCCTGTTCGAGTTTCAATTCATCTAGGCTTAGCATTTTTTTAGCAACACTGGATTTCCAGTTTGGTGGCTAAACCTCGTATAGCAATCCGTTACAGTATACTTTTCTTTAGAAAGTCTTTCCTGTTGGAACTGAGCATGTTTAAGTGTAAGTTGAAAAGCTAGATCTCTGCAGACTCATCTTCAAAGTAATGTGTTGATAGAACCTCTTTTTCATTTCCTAAGTAGAATAATGACTGCATTAGACTGTCGAATCCAATTATAACATCTATGAATTCTCCCATACTAAGACTAAACAGCCGTCCTGTGCTTCCAGGTTTTCAGGTGTAGTCTAGTTTAAATCGACTCAAGAATTCAACTACTAACAACTACTACAATCCGCACAATCCTCCACTCTAATGTATATTGAAGGACGTCTTTTGTTTGTCTCAGTTCTCAATATTACACATATATAAAGAGTAACCGAAACAATCTTTAAGATTCATAAGTTTTTCACATCCACTCCAATGAATTCAGTAACAATCAAACGAATCGTAGTTTTAAACAACTGTATCACACCAACTTTAATTTTCAAATTATTGAAAATAACTACTTGGGTATATTATAAAACTTCGAATCTGTATAATGACATTCAATTCGTAAACGATTTATTCCTTTTATGTTAAAACAATCTTATCGGAAGTTGTTCTACATAAATTGTGTCACTAAAAACTACATCAATTTAATCATTTTCACTGCACAACTTTTATACTACATAACATTAGAAAAAAAAGATTTTTTATTATGTATCATGTTAGATACAGTTCATTTTAAGATATTCTCTTTATATATATATTTTTTCAGATTAAAATTTCAACGTTCACTTCCTGGTCCAGTATTTTGTATATCTCCTGCTTTAGATCTAATCGGTGAAGGTCCTCTATCATTAGCAGTTCTAACTAGTCGTGGACTACATATATTTCAACATGATACATATTGTTTAATCAAAGAAATTCATCATAGATTAGACAATCATTCACCTTTAATACTTAATTTGTAAATTACTTTTTTATTATTTGTGATTATTTGCTTATATATATAACGGCCGTTTCGTTCTAGTGTGGGACTCCTCAGTAGTTCTCATGCACGACCTCGCATGCGGGACTCGAACATAAGGAGTCCCATACTAAAACGAAACGGCCGCCCTGTGCATCCAGGTTTTCATTGTGAAAATTAAAACACATGTAATCAAACAATTGCTTTCAATTAGATCATCATTAAGCTTTACTGTAATATACATGAATATTTATATGAAATTGTTAAACTAATCAAGGCAATTTGAGTCAATAATCACAATAAAAAAGGGGTTAAATGTGTACAGAAAAAATTCGTGAACCCCCTATCCCTTCCATGGCCAGTTGTAACTTAACAAACGACATTATTTTTTTATTTTTGTTATCATTAACATAATTTTCACATTTGGTATTTGATTGTAATTTTCCGCCTCTTTCTGTTTGTATTCTTCACTATCTAATTATTTATATACTTCTTATTACGTAATGGTTTTAATGTGTTATGATGATTATTCGAAGTATATTCACCTAAGTTTGGCATTCTATTTCCAATGTTTAACTATTGATAAGACTTTTGTTTTCGTATTTTATTATTCTTACTACTATCAGTACACCTACCTTCCTTTTATCAACTTGTACTTTTACCTATTATGCTTGGTGACTTATTCTATTTCATTGTGATTTTTGACCTTAATTACCTTGATTGATTTAACATTTCCGTATGAATATTCATGTATATTAGAATAAAGCATGGTGACGATCTAATTGAAAAAAAATTGTTCGCTTATATGTGTTCTATATATATACTGCTACCCCAGAGCTACCCTGTTCGAGTTTCGATTCATCTAGACTTAGCTTTTTTTGAGCATCACTGAATTTCCAGTAAGGTGGCTAAACTTCTTATGGCAATCCGTTGCAATCTACTGGAAAACTGATTTCACATTTGTACATTTCTTAATTGTTCATTTAATTTGTTTTTTGTCAACTCCTATTTTTAAGTAATTCAACTAAAGAAAGAAGATTTTGAGTAGAAAAATCTAAAAAGGAAAACATTTTAACTGTTGTATTTCCATTGTTTTTGTAAATAGTCAATAACCCCCCTCCCGATCTATCTTTGTCCATAAACTTTAAAACATTTACTAAATCCTAATATTGTGAAGTTATATAATCATTTCTTTCTGGATAAATAAATAACATCTCTCTTCTCTATACATACTGTTTTACTGGGTTAATTTAGACAAATCACTGCGAAACTATAATTTATGGACGAACCAATCAGATATATGATAACAGGTCTCAGATTTTGTCGCAAAATTCACTCATCCAGTTGGCTAAATAAAGTTTTAGCATTATAGCTGATGTCAGTTCGTGATGAAAATCCTAAATCTAATTCCCAACCTTGACCATCAACTGTAAGTCATAAATCTAATTCTTCGCACATGTTTATAACCCTCATTTGGTCCTAGTTATCAGGTGGACACTCTTAAGGTCAGTCTAGCGTCACTCAAAGGTCGTCTCAACCAAATCACTCCTATTGATTTTCGTATCAAGAAAATATAAAATGTCCAAAATGACTAAAAAAGAAACAAGTGTATTCAGATTACGATTCGTCTTAAAAATTCACTATAATTCTAAAAACATTAATTGTTAACTAATAGAATTTTATGCATTTTGAAAGCTTCAATGAAAATTTACATTATCGGTAAGTGGTGAACAAGGATAACATTATGCTCAACGATCCGATTTAATCAATAAAACATTTTCTTACTTCTAACTAACCTAATTGTCATAATAAAAGGATAGGGTATGAAACTTTATATCTAAGTTCATACAGTAATGCTTACACGCCACGCAAATTTATAAGTTGCCAGACTTGTGAGAACAAACAAGTAGTACTGACGTTGGTTAGTTTTATAATTCACATACTCATAACAGCTTTCTCACATTTACATCTTATCTTCTGTGTTCATCTGTCTGACTTCATTTAACATATCCATTCCTTTTAAACACAACTAGCCTCTAATCACTTCAGTTCATATTTATTTAACATGCTTGACAGATAATAATATAGAATTCTCAACAGTGTTTCAACAGGTTTTTTTTACTAATTAAGAAAAAGAAGTCGATGACTGCATTAACATATACATGAAATAAATAAATAAACCATCTGGAATTAAGTGAAGTTTTTCAGTAAAATGAAAATCTGTGCAACTTTTAATTAACAATCGACCTAAGAATACTGGTTTTTGACTAGATCAGCTCTTACAACCTATTCGTCTCATAGTGTTTTCGCTAGATTAGGTATTGTGCAGCCTCTAAACATTTCCTTACGTGCATGGATTTTGATGTATTAGCTCCTCGTTTTACCAAAAGATATACAAAAGAGATGTTAGTAAAGTTAATGTTCAATGAGAAAGGAGATTTTATTTATTCCAAGGGGTTGTAAAAAGTTAGAGATCGGTATACGTGCACTGAGATTACCCGCACAGCTAATAAAAGTGTTTTCTGAGGAAGATGGCAGGTCATGAAAAAATGGGAAAGAACAGGTCTTTTTAGTACACTTTGAGTTAGTAAAGACGTTGAAATCTTTCCTCCTCATACAGTATAATGTTATGTTTCAGACAGTCGGTTATCCAGCTGTCAGGGTATTGTTTCAATCCATAAAGTATCTTGTATGGATAAAATAAACCAGATTTTATTTCATTCTGGCAATTAATTAATCTATAAATTTTTCCATTGTAAACTAAATATGTGTGTCTAGTGGTTAAGACGTCCAACTTTCAATCATTAAATTGCAGGTTCAATTCCAACTCAACTTGGGGCAGCTGAATATCATTATTCTAAACACAAAAGTAGGACTCAAAACTGAGTACACGATTCTGTATTGGGTAAACAAATAACATTCAGAAATTTAATAAAAGTTCTATCTATTCAAGATACGATATATATTTTCAAATAAAATATATTTAGAATGAATATTTATTGAACAGGGAAATGACATAAAGGACAATTGTGCAATTTCGTTATTTCATTTTCATAAGCACAATGTTTACATGTTGGACACATCCAAAATTGATAATCTGTAATCGGTTGACCAGTGACTATACACACAGGAATTTTTGTCTCACTAAAATGTTTAGGTAAAAAACACAAAGGAAATGTTAGGTTTATCTGTCGAATTTCGTCTTTATTTCCAATGTAATATTTATTTTATTAGTAGACAGAGAAAACACATTACTACTGTACTGTATACTAAAAGCATTATAGAAAAGTCTCTATTTTGTTTAAACAGAATTTTGTTACAGTGTCGAAGGTAAATATAAGCGTTCTACAACAAAGCTGAAATGCACTTTATCAATGATAATTCCTTACAGTCTTCCCCTAAGTCTTTAATCTCAATATTATTTCACACTTTCTATTCTTTGTTTTTGATCAATATTCTCTATGTTTAGTCTTCCTTATTATTACTGGTCAGTCACTCGAACTGATGTACGTACGTACGAAGTTGTACGTTGTTGCTGACTGACTTCCCATTCTTTTTTTGACCAATATTCTTTATGTTCCCTCTTCCTTACTATCACTGATATAACCATTTCATCTAGTTCTGTAGATGTGCGAATATTTGAACTGTTTCATATCTGTACCGAAACATATGTTGATATTGACTAACTGAAGGATCATACATATATATATGCCTACTGATAAGATGGATGCTGAAGAACAGAAATATTGATGTTCAACTCAGTTTTTGACAAGTTAAAAAATAATACTAGTAATAATTTGTTGTATGAACAGACGATCTATACATTATCAGGCCATCATCTATACACCAGTTATAACACAACATATCATTAAGATCCGAGTGCCAAAATATATGTGAACATGATTATTGTGATAACGCAGTATTTTCTACAAATAGGTTGTTTATTTAAGTCAATTAAAATATTGGTTAACCATAAGCTGAAATCAATGTAAAATGTATCGAGTATCGAATTTAGTCGACAGTGCGGGAAAATATATAGTGCAGTTTCTTAAATAAAATTAAAGAATAAACTCTAAATTTTTCGAAAATCAATCGCAATTAGATTGTACTCTTACACTCCCTGGTTACTTTGGCTAGTTTAAATAAAAACGAAACGACAGACTTATCACAGTAATTCTCGGTGTTTTTGTTCCATCCTCTTTGTTTCCATCTTGTTTTCTCGAGTAATGAAGGATTATAAGCGCATTGTGACGACACAAGAATTGCTTTTCGCTACATTGTCCATTCAGTTTCATTTTACGGAGGAAATACTAGTTTCCGTTTTTTTGCTTCACATTATTATATTCCCTGTGGTAAACACAATTCAGGAATTATATCTTTCCAAGCAGTTTACTCTCATATCTCTTCGTTTTACAAGTTACATTCTTTTCTTCCTCAACTTACTCATGCCTAAAAATCAGCATATCTTCTGTATTCATTAGAATATAAATTATTTAAATAAACAGAAAATACTTCCCATACAAAGAGTGGTATATGTAAGAATTGCTACAAATTATATTTAACTACTCACATCAAATAACAGTAGTAAGATGTAATGGCCGAATAAAAAATAAACATGAAATAGCATTAAGTAGTTGGAATAACTTCTCTTACCTTTCTAACATTGAATCCATTTCAGGAGACTCCGATGTATCTTGTTCGTTTATAGGTTGATGTCTATCAAAAAGATATAACGATAAAACAGTCATTTTTATATCTAGTCAGAAAATTTGTCAAGAGTCTACGAATTTGCTTCAAACAGTTTTCATTATAAACTAACATAGTAATTATCAAAGTTTTTAAAATAACATCTTAAGAAATAAATCAAAGATTCTCTAAAAGGAGTTCAATGTATGAATACTGATGATTTCAAGATTGAAAGTCAACTTTCATACAAGGTTCTTAAATTATATCTCTCTATACACATAAGTATAAAATATTAGATATGGATTTATAACAAACAGATGTATCTGAAGTATAACGAATTACTGAATAACACTTACCTGGAAAATAGATCTAGAGTTAATTGTTTAATTTCTTTCTGTTCAATTGGTGAGATATCTGTAAAGCTTTCTAATTTTATAAAAGCTTTAGAACAGACAACGTAGTTTCTTGCATAAATAGCACAGAGAGCTAAAAAAAAGTTAAGCACTTCAGTATTAATACGGAGATAAGTTAAAAATATAATCTTATTAGTATTATGGATCAGACTAATTTATACAGCCGTTGAAAACCAGGAAGTCTTGATCACCTGTTTTTCCCCAGTTTGTAGTTACTTAGTCGTGTGCACCCATGACACCATTGATGAAGGTCCTACTCAGGACTTTAGGTCTCATATAAAAACCTTTAACCAGTAAACCAATGTCTATTTCCTCCTGGTTTCCAGTGAATGTCTAAGTTATGCCGATCTGTGGTGTCAATAACATCAAATAATTCCCATATACTTGTATATTAATGAAGTGTCATTCACTTATAAAATTTATAATCTAGTACAATCGGAAAATGTCCACATCTAATTTATCAACTACCTCCAACCACCTTGCATCCCAGCATAGTGCATACAATGTCAAAACGCTTAGTCTACTGGATAAATCGAAACCTGATCGATATAATCAGATTAGCACTAAATAGACTAGTAAAACATTACTGGTAAGCGTTTTTTTAGTGAGTTAGTTTTCTACGGGATGGAGACGCTAACCCCATGCCCAACCCTCCTCCTTTACCCCGGCTTGGGACCGGCAGTAACTCTGGAAGAGCTACAGGCAGAGTTTAGTAAAACATGACATTGATCATTCTACAGTGACCAATCAATAGTACACAATCAGAGAATTTATAAAGCTAGGCTTATTTACTACTAATGAATTAATTAAAGTGTAAATTCATTACATCGAGTGGTTATACTGTCTATTGTAAGATACTTTAATGAATAATGATGCTATGCATTCAAGCATTTTTAATCTCCGGTAACATGGAAACACTACTAAATACTTAGCTATAAGCATCATATATGTGTCACGATATCAAGTGTAGCTGGAAATTTGGAGGTTAAACATTATGTTATACATACAGTCATGTAGTCAGACATAATAGTATTTAGAGTTTATTAATTACTTGTCAGTCTATCCTATAACTCAATCATATACAAAGTCATCAGGACAAAAACGTGATATTAATGAGATAGCTTGAAG